GGGGGGGGGGGAGCAGATTTCTTTTTCTACATGATTTATCTAAAGGAATTGGCTTATGCAGTTGTGGGGGCTGGCAAGTCTGAAATCTGTAGGGCAGGCCAGCAGGCTGCAAACTCTCAGGCAGGGCCTGAGACTACAGTCCACACACTACACAGTCTTCCTCAGAGAAATCTGTTTTGCTCTTAAGACCCTTCAACTAATTGAATGATTATTAAGGATAATCTCCTTTACTTAGGGTCGGCTGATTGCAGAGGTTAACCGCATCTGCAAAATAGCTTCACAGCAACACCTAGATTCCTGTTTGATTGAATAACTAGGTACCATAGCCCAGCCAGGTTGACACATAAAACTAACTTCTCCTGCTCCAGGAAGCCTGGATGCATCCCTCTGAGGCGGCTTTCCACCAGGAGACTGTTGTCCTCTTTAATGTCCCTCATGGGCAGGTTTTTTTCTGGACACTCCTCCCATTCAGGAAATGTAGCATGTTCCCTTCGGGGTTCACTGAGCCTCCGCATAGCCGTCCCTTCTATTCAAACTCCAAAAACACTGCAAAGACCTCACACCACTTCATTTATTTTTTTCTTCAAAATTATTTTTGAATTATCTACTTTTTTTTGTTTAAAAACCTTTTTACAACTCGACATTAAAAAATAAATAATCCAATTAGAAAATAGACCAAAGATTAGCACAAGCATTTCTCCAAAGAGGAGATACAAATGGCTAATAAGCACACAATAGATGCTCAACATCATTGGTCTTAGGAAAATTAAAATTCAAAACCACAATGAGACAATTATCACCTACTACGAGGGCTATAATAAGAAAGACAATAATGAGGAGTGTAGAAAAATTGGAACTCTCATAGGTTGCGAGTAGGGATGTAAAATGATGTAGCCACTTCGGAAAATAGTGTGATGGCTCCTCAGAATGTTAAACATAGAGACACTGAAACCAGACACAATGGATCCGGGCTGCCTGTCGCTACTTCAGCCAATTAAGCAGAGACGAGGTTGAATCATATATGAATATTTTATTCCAATATTGCCGACAAAATGGGAGAGCAGAGGGATTTGTCCACATAAAATCTGCTCTTTCCTTCCCTTATTAGCTGGTTGGTTATACAGGGGTGAGGAAGAAAGGCTGCATGCAATGGGGAAAGGGGAAGGGGCTGGCTTTAGGGTCTGTGTCTCCTTTCAGGATCTTGAAGTCCTATAAAAAGTAGTTAATTTTCAATGGTGTTAACGCCCAGCTCCACCAGTTCCTGGGACCTGAGCATTCTCAGGTCCTAAGGCAAACTCCCGGAGTGGGGGTCACTCTCCAAGCACAGCAACCAAATCAAAGTGCATCTGTTCTTTGTCTGTTCTCAAAATGCATTTTCTTTTCTGAGCAATGGACCCATTCAGGCCCCAAAGTGTCTCTTTTTTTTTTTTTTTTACAGCTCTGTTTTTCTTCTTGCAGCACATCTTCCAGTTTCCCGGGGTTTGTAGGAAAACTTCTTATCTATAGTAAGGTGAATAATTATTAAACAACTAAGGTCCTATTCCTATTAGATGCCCTTTTCCCCTTTCACAATCACAGTCAACAGAGCACGATCAGCATCTCTGCCCCCTACAATACCATATGACTCAGAAATATCACAAAAAATGAACACATATGTCCACACAAAAACTTGTACACATATGTTCATAGCAGCATTATTTATAATAGTTAAAAAGTGGAAACCACTCAAATGTCCACTAATAGATAAATGAATAAATAGAATATGGCATATCCATACAATGGAATAGTATTCATCAATAAAAAGGAATGAAGTGTTGATCCATGCTACAGCATGGATCAGCCTTGAAAATATTATGTTAAGTGAAAGAAGCCAGTTACGAAAGGCCATGTATTGTATGATTTCACTTACATGAAATGTGCAGAATAGGCAGATCCACACATATGAAATAGATTTGTGGTTGCCAGGGCTGGAAGGGAGGAGGATTGCTATAAGGAGAGAGTCACTGCTAAAAGGTATAGAGTTTCTTTTTGGGTGATGAAAATGTTCTGGCCTTGCCAGGGTGGCTCAGTAGTTGAGCATCGACCCATGATCCAGGAGATGGAGGTTTGATTCCTGGTCAGGGCACACGCCTGGGTTATGGACTCGATCTCCAGTAGGGAGCGTGCAGGAGGCAGCCGATCAATGACTCATCATTGATGTTTCTCTCTCTCTCCCTCTCCCTTCCTCTCTCTGAAATCAATAAAGACAATTTAAAAAAAAAAAAAAAAAAAGTCCTGAAATTAGATGGTAGTGATGGTTGCACAATTCTATGGATATATCAGAACACTGAACTGTAAGAGTGAATTTTGGGGTATGTAAATTATATCTCACTAAAATTATTATTTAAAAACTTTTACATAGTGGTTTTACTTTTGCTCAGATTACAGGAATTTTTTTTTTAGCAAAAAGAGATAGTATTAATTTTTCTCATTACATATGCTCTCTAGAAAATATTAGTAAATTTTAATTTCATGAATCAGTCCACTATTCTCTAAACAATATATTATCTGTGAACTGTTTATAGCTCACAGAAAATACTTTTCTTTCTTTCTATGTACCACAGTTACAAGAGAAACATGAAAGTTACTGTTGGCTTGTTGGTCTCAATAAGTTTTAGTTGATTTAAACAGACAGTCTCTCAAAGCCAGGACTGTTGGAGCTGGGTGGGATTCCTGCTATGCTCTCTGCGCCTCTCACTTGTCAACCACAGTCTTTCCACCAGTCTACACAGCTTTGGAAAATAAAAACAATCTCAACAGTAATCATCAGGATTCAGAAGGTTATGAACTCCCAGGAATTGTACGCAAAATGTGACTCGTGTGCATTTTTTTTTCTGGGCAAAGTCTACACCCTTTATTAGCATCTCAAAGAGGGTCATTGACCAACATTTTAGAGACACTTGCCAGGTCTGGCTGCCTTTAGATTTTGCAGCAGCATCTATAGTTTAAGTTTGCAAAGCATCTTTTCCCCCCTTGTTCTGTCATAGCGCCCCCTCTTTGGGAGGATGATGGGTGAGTCTTCCCCTTGAAAACTGCTGCTGCTGCTGGAGAATCTTTTCATCTGGTTGCTAAATCCAGAGAATGCAATCTAGAGCTGTCTGCATGGCTCCCCCCCCCCCACC